ATTATGCATACAGTCGATCCCCCTATAACACTGTTGATAATTTTGTTTTATATGAATTCCGTGTTGTACGAGTCACTTAGATTTTACAAATACGTGAGCCGTTCACAGTCCGGCACACGAATTTGTAAAATCTAAGTGACTCGTACAACACGGAATTCATATAAAACAAAATTATCAACAGTGTTATAGGGGGGAGTCGACTGTTGTACTGTACTTTTAACACCGAGAGTCGGGAAGTCTTTCTGTTTTCTTCTAATTATATATAAACGCACTTTAGTCGAACTTATTTTCATTGAAATTCAGATGGGAGAATAAATAATTAGCGAAGATTTCTGAATGATGAATTTTATTGAATATCTTATTAAACATTTCGTATTGTAATAAACGGAAGCGACACCGTTCTTCCGCAACGAAGACTCGACGAAGATCCGGTCCAGGCTAAGAATCGTCCTGGAAAGTCGGGTTGTGGAAAGTGGAAGTGGCTCCTACGAACAGGGGATTTTCGTCCTAAAAAAAAAAACAATAAAACAACGGTTAATTACACTACGAAACTTGGTTTAATTAAAATATCTCCCTCTTTGCAAAGCAATCGGATAATTATCACCACTCGATAGAGCGAAAGAAAACGAACGTTCGTGTTTCTTACCGTGCTCCACTTTGCATTGTACAGTTCTCTTGTGAATCTAGCAAACTCTCGAGTATCGTGGACGTGAGTGATCAGTTTCCAGGCCAATAGAGCCGCCAGACCGGTACCCAAGATGCCACCCACCAAACCCGACACCACAGGAAAGTAGTCGACGGTTCCGGGACAATCTGATTCCCAAAAATAATTAAAAAAAATAGTCAGAGTTATGGCCGACCCCGTATAAATTCGCGTGCCGGTGTCTCCCATACCTTTAATAGGATTAACGATAATCACGGGCGTATCCTTTTCGTCTAGTCGATAATAGAAGTGGACCCGGCAGTCGTCGTCGTCGACGAACGTGCACTTCTGCATACCTTCCACGCTATCTGTTAATTCATACAAAGTGTGTAATTAGTCTCCAACTTTTATTGTTGTTAATTATCGTTACTTTTATTTCCTGGCAGATACGTAGAGTATGGCACACAGTCTGTAATCGTGACGTTTATGGTGTGCGAAAGATACTCACCGTTAGCACGTAAATGTCGATAGAATCCAGTACAGTTATCGCATTCCGGTTGAGTTAGAGGACCTGAATTAAACGTCTTACACCCCACGCAAGAGTCGTACAGACCGCAATTTTCCGGACAGACCTGCGAGAAAATCGACCAATTAAAATGTTTCCTACAATTTAAATCGAATACGTATATAGTTTCTTGCGGAGAAAACAAGTGGAAGTGTTTAATCCACGCGAGAAGGTGGTAAAATTAACAAGGGAAAGTCTATTAGAGAAAGGTAATGAATTTCTAGATACGAACCGAACACATTTGACACCAAGTTCCGTAGTAGTATTCTCTTTCGTTGCGTAGACAGCTACAACTTCCGCATTCGCATACACCGTGATTGTTGCACATCACCTAAATAACGTAGATAAAAAAACCTGCTTCCGTAAGTCTGTATTTTTATTAGAACAAACATGGAACACTTTAAATGGAAACATGGAATAGTGGTCTGAAGAAAAAGTCCCGGAGTGATCGGAGAAGACGTTAAAGGTACAGTACACTTACCCCTGTAACGGGGTCCAGGCAGGCTTCCACGGAAACCTCACACTGGCAGGAATCTCCCGTCCATTCCGGAAAACACTCGCAAATGCCGCATTGGCAAATCCCGTGACCTGAAACAAAACCACTCTAAATACAGTACGTTGTCTGGTAAGCTCCGTAAGAACAAAGGACAGGAAAGACTTACCTGCGCAGATGGCGTTCTTGTATCTGTTACAGGAATAGTTGTCGCATTCGCAAAAACGTCCCATTATCCTCTCGTTGGGATCCTGAAAAATCCTCTGCGTAAAAATTCAAATACCCAGAGGCAGAGTTTAAAGGAAAAGTATGATGTACTGTATAGTACAGTACGGGGCAAGACACTACTAATTTAATAATAAATAATTCCTCGTTGAAAAGGGTTACTCGTCCGACGATTTGGATAAAGTTTTCTTAATCGTCGGGCTTTCGCTTTCTTATAAATTCGGAGGTGAAAGGTCGAGCGCCGGAAAGGAACCGGAACTAAACCAGACTACTTACGTATCTGGTTTCGCACACGCACTGACCGCAGACGCATACTCCTCTACCGGAACATATGACGTTATTGTGGCTGAAAATACGAAGGAAACGAAAAACATAAATTAAGAAAAAAAGAATGAAGATCAGAGAAGTAAGAGCGTTTTTCCATCGGGGAACTTCTGGAAGCGAAAGATAAGAAGGATTACTTACTTCATACAAGCCGAATCGTTACGGTAAGATCCGTCTTCCGCGTTGCATTCGCATCTCTTTCCGGCTCTACCCGGCCGACACAGACAACTTCCGCACTCCAAAGTACCTTCGCCCGAACACTGCACACTCTCTTCTTCCTAAACGCAAAGAATAACCCGTCATCTCTCTCCCCTCTTCGCCAAATTTATAAAACATCGACCTAAATGTACGAAATTTCAATTGTCGCTTAACGTTCGTAAATGCCACATTTCTCACGCCAAGACACAACTTACTTAACGTTAATCGATCAGAACGTATTACGAGACACTCACCCTGTTCTCACAGTGGCACTCGCACATCATTCTTATGTCAACGGTTAGGGCCTCGTCCACTCCCACAGGAGACACAAGGAACGTCTGGTTCCACAGATTCCTATCCGGTGGACAGGAATCTAGAGTGACTTCCATTTCGAAACTCACCTGAAAAATGGTCGGCGATTATTCCGGAAACGTAGGTAGGTTAGAGGATGGAAAAGGGGCATCTTTCGGATTACTCTTTTATTCTTTGAAACGCCTCTACATACTTACGCCGGTGCCCGGCGGAACGTTTTCGCACTTGTCTCCCCCTCTGAAATACAATTAGTTGACGTTTGTTAATTAATAATAACCGGAGAGAACGGATGAGGAAGAAGTTACGATTCTCACCCGGGGCAAGAAGAGAAGAAGGTGACTTTGACGGGATCCGAGGCGTTGCTGGTCAGTTTCACCGTCGAAGTTATGGCCTGAAGAGTAATAAACGTAAATCGAAAAGCCATCCTCCGAGGGTAGAAAGTCGAAACGAAGGACTCACGTTGTATTGTTCTTGGATCAATTGGACGATGTTGGAGGAATCGTGGCTGAGTTCGGCCACCGTCGACCCCTCCATTCGGGAAGCCAGGGAACTGTAGGCGTCTTCCATCTGCCGTGTGACTGCGAAGATGACGTTGACTCTGCTCTCTCTGGCCGCTCGGACGATCTGGGCCACCGAGGGGTAGTCTCTGTCCGTGCACTCGGAATACTCTCCTTCCCGGTTCAGGCTGCACCGGCCGCTGTTCGGTCGCAGAATCCCCGCCAACTGTTAAAGAGGACGAAGATCGCTCTTAATAGAATAGTAGCAAAGACAAAAGAGATAAAGAAAACGAAGCAAAGTGTATGGGAGACAATAAGGAGATACGTTAAGGTAAAAATAGAAAAAGATTACCTTTCCGTCTCCGGCAATGTGGTATTTGTTGTCGGTAGAAAACACCAAAATCTTTCTCGAATTGTCTCTCCATCCGATCTCTTCCTATCATTGCCATTAAACAAAGAAATTCCGTATTAATTCTAACGATCAAAACACAAGATTTGATAGATAATTCGAGTTGATGCCGAGGAGTAAGGGCGCTTGGCACGCAACCCTTAAATTACAATGTTTTGATAACGGGTTGCGTGTCAGGTGCCCTTCCTTCCTCCTCGGCACTCCGTATTAAACGTCACCAGGCCTTCACCGATTAACTTAACAAATACCTTGCAGACAATTGCTTGGAGCAGAGCGTCTAGTCCCGCTTCGGGATCGTCGACGTTGGCCGAGGTATTTGCAGCATTCACCTCTTTTTTGAATCTTCCGGTGTCGGCACTTAGAGACATGTGATTACGAAAACAATAAGGACGAGAGAAATTCTCGTATTGTTTATTCTTCCTGTTAGTGTTAAGTACACAATTACTTAAACGTTTTTTGAGGCCCCCTCCCGAGGCTCCGATCACTTACTCGAAAGCCAGAGTGTTGACGAAAGGAAAGGTCACTTTCTCCACGAAGGAACCGAATCCGATGCGAAAATCTCGGGTGATGTTCTTCATCTTTTCCGCCACCGAATCGCCCAGAGAAGACAATTTGTCTTTGTCGTCCTTCATAGAGTTCGACAGGTCCATCAGGTAGTATAGGTCCACGGGAACGTTCTTCGCCTGCTTGTATTCCACGCGCAAACGAACCGGCTGCTCTGTAGTAAAAATTACCTTTCGCCATTTTGAATTTTAACCACTAGAAATCTAAAAATTCCACGACGAAACGAAGAGTATCAATTTTGAAATAGGTACAACAGTACGTACTGGGTCGCAATTCCAAGAACACTTCTTGAGGTTTCATCTGAATGGCTTTCCGCTCTTCCGTCCTCTCGGCAAAGTCTTCTTCCTGAAGATTTATTCGCGCCGTCAGACCTAGACCAGACCAAATCTAGAAGAAAAAGAGACTTACCCTTGGCGCTTGATAGCTGCCGTTGGGGTACAAGTATTCCGAGCACTCGCTCTTCACCACCGCCCAATCTTCGCAGTAGGCGTTGGGTCCCTCTTCGTCCTAAAATACATAAAATCATCTCTTGGTGGGAGCCGGAGACGAAGAAATTATACTTTAAAAGTGAAAAGAAAGGGATTTAGATGTCCCCGAATTAGCCAATTAAGTCGTCGACTTACCGTCCGTAAACACCAAGCGCAAAAGGGAAAGGACGTCAGGCATTTCTGGCAGGAGATAATACCTCGACAAGGTGAAGGTTCTGCTCCTATTTCGTTCGATATTACATTTCTTTATCTCGAGTGAAGCGAATAAAATACGTCACAGAAAATATACGAAGACACGTACCCGAAGCGAATAGAACAATGGACGCCAACGTAATCAGACGAAACGCTTCCGCCCGAAGAATGCCTTCTCTTCTCATTTTCGTTTCCTTCTCCTTTCGTTCCGTTCCGATCACAAATACCTAAAACAATTAAGACACGTAAGCAGTAACACTTCGGGTGTCAATTCAACGCATGCTATATACTATGTGAATTTTTACCACAGCATATCTTCCTTCTCAACATGAATTAAATGCCTTGCATTAGAAAGATCTTTGCAAAATTGTTCATAAAGCATCTTTGCCCTTTCACGTATACACTAGGTCATCGATACGAATACGTCCTTGATCATACGATCAAGGAAGTTGTTCGTATCAATGACCTAGTGTGAACTTCCTTCAGTAATAAGTATGAACGTGAGTAATTAGCGTAAACGAAACAGAGAGAAGCATTGATATAATGCGGACAGGAGGTGTTCGAGCGAGATACCTGGACAAAAATCAATGTCCAAAGATGTGTTTACGTGTCGATCGAGTTTTGTTTCTTAATTTCGAACTGCATCCTTAGCAGAGAAATAATAAATTTTCGCTCCTCCGAAAGTTAAATCCAGGGTGTAACTTTAATTCTTTGTTAAACTAAAATAAAATTTTATATACAGTACTTACAGTAGATTTGTCCGGTGCTGAAGGGGAACTAAAATTTCTCCTTAACGGATACGCAGAAGGAAGAGGAATGGTTACTTCCGAGTAAATTTCGACGTCATATAACGATAACGCCGTTTCGTTCGATTCGCTGGCAATTATCGTTATTTCGCCACATCCCTTTGTACAAGGCCAAAGAAATATATAGGCAAGAAACGAGGCATAAATTCGTTTTCGCTCCGGATACACTACTAACCACGGGTGTTTAATGTACTGTACAGTACATTAAACACCCGTGGAATCGAGGAATAATTGGAAAAATAAGTAAATGGTTAAAACCCGAAAGACAAGACCAAGAAGGAGATCAATTGGCAAAATTTTATGTGTGGCGCGTGGTCGAAAAGAATAAAGAAAGAGAAATGACTACAGAACGACGACATTTCATGGAATTTGTACCAGCGACGGATGTCGGGAATTTTCCCTTTACGGAAATAACGAAATCTCTAGTGACTAATTCGCGTACGATTCTACAATAGCGATATCTACCTTAAATTTATACAGTAATTATAAGTTTAAAGTAACTATTCACAGTAGAGAAAATATACAATGCAGTAAAACCTGTGTAATCCGGAATCGCACTGTACCGAATATTTCTTCTGGTTTGGTAGGTTTATTTTCTCATAGAAAATCGCTCAGTTAAGAAGCTAACGCGTGGAACGATTGTTCCTGTGAACCACCACGAGGCATTTCTTGTATCGTGGTTCAACCATCGACATCTTAAGTGACAGCCGCACAGCCCTCCACCAATTGAACAATGGCAATCGCCAGCTCCCCATCATCAACGACTGCCTCCAGATCATAGGAGAGATTGGTCGGGTGGTTTCTATCAACCTGTACTGGGTAAGGGGACACACTGGGGTTTACGGCAATGAAAAACCTGATGCTCTTGTCAAGAAAGCCCATACAAACACTAGTAACTGCAGTTACGTCTCCATCCCCCTCTCTGTCATCAAAAACAAGCTTAACGCCATCATTATGGATAGCTGGCAAAAGGAATGGGACGTCAGTACACCGGGCGTCTAATTCACCAATTCCTGTCCAACATCAGCAAAAGGATGACACTTAACTTCTTCAACACCAATCACGCCATCACCCAGCTCTTGACAGCACACGGTAATTTCAGGGCCTATCTCCACCGTTTTCTTAAAAAAAGGAAGCAGTACCTGCAATTGCGGGATTGAGGAAGACCTTCTTCCCACCTTCACCAGCTTGTACACAGGTATTGTATACCCTGTATTCTGTATATTTTGTATTTTGTTTCTCTCTTATTCTCATCAATAAATGTGTTGCTGGCGCTCATGATCCTACCCCTTCATCACCTATCCTACCTCTCTTTCCATTTCACCTTCACCCCTCTCCTAAACCTCTCTTTCCTTCCCATTTCACCCTCCAGCGATACCACTGAGTAGTCTCGCGCTTTCACCCTCTTTCCAGCAACGATGTAACGATGTATCGTGGTTCACACGAAGTTAATCGTGCTGTAATACAATAGCTAAAACCTAACACTAGGAATTGGATAGTGGTCAAATTAATTAATTAATACACCGTATTTTTTGCACGAATTCGCAAAAATGACAAGTAGAGCACCCAGAAATACCGAGCAGACTCGCCAGCCATTTTGGATTCATTTACTACGTTAGAGAATGTACAGTGCAGTACAATACGTGCTGATGTGTGCATTTTTAATACTAAAATATGAATTGTTTTCTACGTGTTTGTAATAATAGCCGCTATAAAGAATTATTTTAGATACTTAAAGGTGAATCTAAAGTGGAGATGAGCCTGCTCGGTATCTCTAGGTGCTCCACCAAGAACACGATGGTAGAACAAAGGAGTGGAAAGGGTGTTTCGCCGAAATAATTAGGAATTATCCCATTAAGAAACACTATAAATAGTTATATATATATATATAATTTTTAGGTATATCTCACCGAATACAATATATTTAAAAGATTCCATTCTACTTCACAAAATAGATTCACGTATAGTCACGCCTTCTCAATGATAACCTCGTTGATCGATTCTTCTATATTAACATTATATAAGTATGATTTTGCACGTGAAAAGAAAAAACTTACTTTACTCCTATTATAAAATATAAAAATAACGATTTAATCGGGTCGTTACGGAGTTTTTTTTTTTTTTTTTTATTCTTCTCTACACTCGGTTAGTTGCCTTCCTTTGTTAATTTATTTATTCTTCAATTAGCTTAATCTTCACTCGAAGTCAACGTTACTCTTTAGAATTACCTATTTTAAAGGTTTTTTTCCCCTCTCCTGGTAAGGAGCAATCGATCTGTGGAGGGAGTTGGAACAACCATTGTTCCACCTCTCCTCTCAGAAGTTTAATTTTACCTCCAGTTTGATTAGAAATAAACACGAATTGCAGATCTGTCTAGAACTTATCGTGAAATCTATTATAAAATTCTAACGTTTACAGTCAGATCCAAAATTGTTTAGAGGTATGCGAGGAAGAAAACAATATAAAAGATGTGTTTGTGGAAAGAGTGCGAACTTAAGAAAAAATTGTTCGTAATTACCAAAGCAATTTTATTAATCCGAAATAATACAGTAGATAAAATCTACAGTATGTTTTATGTCCTTTAAACGGGACAATTTGTGTACAAACGTTTAGAATAATAAAATAATTACATTTAGAAACACAGCATACTCTTAGACAACTAGGAGGGTAAGAGTACCTCTTACCCTCCTAGTTCTCTAGGGAGTAAGAGGGGGATTATCGTTCTCTAGAGGGTAAGAAGTACTCTTACCCTCCTAGTTCTCTAGGGGGTAAGAAGGGGATTATCGTTCTCTAGGGGGTAAGAGGTACTCTTGCCCTTCTAAAGAACGATATTCCTCATCTCGTATTTTGATATCAGTAGTCGTATATGTAAGGATCGACTCCGTAGGTGCCACCACTTCTCACAACTGTTACTTTGCACCCAGTCTTCTACCATCACTTCAGTTCTATAATCTCGACTTACACGTCTAATATTTCCTTTTATTTTATTCTCGTTTTTCCTTTTCCTTTCATTTTTCGTGCTCTTTAGTATATCTTTCTCTTACCGCTTTTCTTTCAGAGCATCCTCAACAGGTAATGCGTACTCTCGGCCGATAGTTTCACAAAAAAGGGCGGAAGTAGCCACCACACAACAGCTTTTATTGGATACGTACAAGTCGACCCCTCTATAACACTGTTGATTATTCTGTTTTATATGAATTCCATGTTGTACGAGTCACTTAAATTTTACAAATACGTGTGCCGGACTGTGAACGGTTCACATATTTGTTAAATCTAAGTTACTCGTACAACATGGAATTCATATAAAACGGAATAATCAATAGTGTTATAGGGGGTCGACTGTAATCCTGTTATAAAGAATTTTTTCGCAGGTGGTAAAATATATTTGCTCGTCAAACAATTAAGAAACAAAATTATACCAAAAAACTTTTACTTACCCGTAAAAATTCTAAACAGAAGGTTCGAAAGTAGCGTACGCAATGACATCGACGTCTGCAATGGTGTTGCAACCGAAATATTTCGTATTCTTTTTATATAAAGAAAAAAAAACTCAGCATTCGATCAGATATTAAAGCTTGTTTTTAACAATAGTAGTAGGTTCTATATCGTATCGTAAACAATCCCTTTATAGACTCTAAGCTGGTGATGAAATCGCGTAACACGTACACGTCACACGAGATATTTTATTACAAATTTAACTATATTTTATATTAAAATACTTGACAAATGTGACAAACTGCCCTCAACGAAATTGCAGTTACATAGAATAAAAACTACTTTTTTAAAAGTTGAAAGGGAGAGAGGGGTCAGAGTTATAGAACAGAAGGGTAAAGTTGATATATCTCCACTCTATTTTGCTTTTAAATAAACCCACAAAAGAAAAGCAATGCATTTTTTTTACTCTTGAATTCGTATTTATGAATGGTCGAAGAAATAATACATCTCTCGAGACAATACTAGAATTGCCTTCGTAAGCCATTGTTAATAATTTTTGATCGGCTATTAAAGTCAATGACTTTTATGTACGTTGAATGAACACGTGACAATCACCTCACCTCGCTACCTTAACTCCATAGGAATAAAACAGATCGATTATAACAAGTCTGTAGTTAACTTTATTTAGTATTATTTTGTTAACTGTTTCTTACCGAAGGGGGTCTTTTCATTACCCGGAGGTCCTTCCGTAGTTACGCCAGTAGGGTAGTTTACGTAGATAGAACATCTACATAAGACTACAATACTTTAGTCATTTCTCGTCTTTTTACTAATCAAGTTTAGTTTCAATGTTCTTCGTCACGAATATCGCCTTAATTAGTGTTGCTTAACGGCACGAGACAGAAAACGGATGAATAAAATCGCGTGCCAAAGCCCGAGGACAACATATTATAACCTGGCGGGGCGTGGGTCGCTCGTGATTACTATATAGTAAATTATGTAGGAATTGGTATGTTTTCTAACAAAAACTACGTAACATAGTAACAAATAACAATGTTCTGGGACAAACCACACGCCCACATTTAAGGGCATTTACAGTACCGTACCATAAGCGCCCGCGGATTATCAAAGGAGGAGCACAAGCTATAAAAAAAGCATCATAAGTTATATAAGGAGCTTCAAACTCTACGATTCAATCAACGATCAGGGCTCCCACGCAACTATTTTTATATAGTTATGTGGGAGCCCTGATATAGGTTTGACAAAAATTATAAATTTTCTATTGTTTGTTTAATAATGAAATTTGAGGCCCCCTTTGGGATTAGGAAGAAGGCAAACCCAGACTTAGAGCTTTAAGTATGTACCGTACGGGCTCCCCTTGCACATACAGTGCCAGGGGAGGATTGAACTATTCCATTTGGTATATTTCTGGAATAGTATATGTTTATAATGCGATTCGTTAATATCAAAGGTCTTCGGGAGAGAAAAATCCGTATTTCTAAACACTAAATTAAAAATGGAATCCGATTCGTTTGGGTTTTACTCTAACCACGTCTATTATTATTCAGAACATCGTCGATTTATTGAATTATACAATACTACGCGAAACAATTACCAAAGCTTTCCTCTCGAGCCTCCTCGTATTTTGGAGAGAAATATCTTCATCGTAATACATATTGCACTTCGGCACCCTTCCGCTGTATGATCCCTAACCTTTGTATATACTATAAATGTATGTATAGATTAGAATAGATTAAATTTCGGTGTTTCTACTCGTAATAAACGAAACGATTCCCTCCGGGAAGGCGAAATATCGAGGTTTATAGGCCGGGAAACCCAGTCGAATAAGTGTAAATTAGGGAATATTCCCCCCAGACGATTGTGGCAACGGGAACGTGGGTTTAATCAAATCGATTTCTATTCTATTTTGCGCGTCTACGGATTACACTGGAAGAGACTACGGTGAAGGGATAAGAGGAGCTTTTTAATCGATTAAAATAGTCATTTAGTCCTTTGCATTATTGACAATGCGAATTACTCTCGGCCATTGGAATTCCTCTCGAGATCATTAAAAAACACAACGTAATCGATTCGATACAACAGATACCATCGTATCCTTATACCATACTATTCTTTCTTTATAATTGGAGGATGTTCCGACAGAAGATTCGCACCGATCGCTATTCTTTAATGATATTTTCTTGACGATTCGTGGGCCATCCTCTTTAACAATTCCTTCCCAAATGGCTGATTGTAACAATCGGCCTTAACAATTGGGAAGCACGTCCTCTTACATTTCTGTATTATTGGAATTTCGTACAACCTCCAGGATACTATAGAAATTATGCGTGACTTTTAGGGTTTTAAACGGATTCCTTCTCTTTTGTTTTATTCTTAAACAAACGACAACCATCTTTTGTATTTGGTAACGTTAAATAGAGAAGTCTTCGTCTATCGAGAATTGTAGGATTACGATTTCTCTAGTCAAATGTCTCTATTATCCTACGAACCACATCGATCGGGGATTTAGAATTATATTTTTCGCCATTTAAAGAAAAACAAAAGATTATGTAATTCCGATTGATAAAATCGCCATGGTAGACGAGACATTCTTAAGATTAATACAACGGAATCTGTTGCAAATATAAGGAGTCTTTGGCATGTCTAAAGGAGCGGGTTCGAACCCAAAGCGTTATTCTTAGAGTAAAATAAGTCCCGTTTCTTCCTACTGTATCCATTTATAGAAATTAACTTCTGATCGATTCGTCTAGCTCTTCCGGATAATCAGTCGCCAAATGGATTTTTAAATATATCTTGTCGGGAAGAAGACGTATTTCTATAACGTTTTCTTCCGGTCAACGGCGAAGAATGATAATATAAAACTCCGACTACATCCTATTCGTTAACGTTTTATTATAGCGAATGATATTTGTATAGAAGACGAGTGCGGTCGATTCGAATTTCTTCAAAAATATACTGTTTAAATCCTGTAGCGATCTCTGCTGTATTTAATCTATAGAAGTAAATCATTCTTCCCTATTCTCTACCTTACAATGTCGCCGTTTCCCTCTCCTCTTCTAACACTGGCCCGTCTTCGATATTGGCTGAAGAGAAACGATTTAAAATCATGTAAGGAAATGAAGAATACGAAGAAAATCGTCGTCCTTACCTCGAAAGGAATTAAGGTGAGAGATGAAAGTAAGATTAAAATGGCCTCGACTTTCGATTCTCTTCCTTTCTATTCCGTTGAAATAAGAAAATTTGATGAATGACCAATGCTTCTTCATCGCTTGTTTTACCTGTCGTGTCGATAAATAATCGATTTTTTAGTATTGAAAACTTAATAAACGTACGGTTGATCCCCCCTACAACACTGTCGATTACTCCGTTTTATATGAATTCCATGTTGTAGGAGTCACTTAGATTTTACAAATACGTGAGCCGTTCACACCCCGGCACACGTATTTGTAAAATCTAAGTGACTCGTACAACATAGAATTCATATAAAACGGAATAATCAACAGTGTTACAGGGGGGTCGACTTAGAAAATACAATATACTTTATATATTATAGGGATTTTTCCCTTATTTCTAATATAAAAGATCGCTAAGGATTTAACACCGCGTTACAAATTTTAAATTCTCCGTATTCTTAATATAACAATACAAGTTGTTTTACGAATTTATCTTTTACTAACCTCAGTTTTAAAGGATTTTTATTAGAATCAATGGGTTATTTACCTCACGATTGAGGAAGCAATAGAGAAGAGACAAGAAGAATCCTTGGAAGGAAGACAAGATGTGTGTGGTGTAGGACCAGACGGCGAACTGGACGGGAGATTTATCCAAAGGACCGGGAATGATGTCCAACAGGTTAGTAATTCCCAATAAAGGGAGAAGCAATAGAGCCGCTCGGATAGTCTTTCTGAAAAAAAAAAACAAATAAGAGTTATCGAAAAGATCGATTTCTAATGAAGTGAGGAAACACGAGAACGTAACGAATCTCTTTTATTTTGGATTCCTAAACGCAATCAATGTACAACTTCACCTTAATAATATCTGTACATTCTTTATACAAGTCGACCCCCCTATAACACTGTTGATTTTTCCGTTTTATATGAATTCCATATTGTACGAGTCACTTAGATTTTACAAATACGTGAGCCATTCACAGTCCGGCACACGTATCTGTAAAATATAAGTGACTCGTACAACATGGAATTCATATAAAACGGAATAATCAACAGTGTTATAGGGGGTATTTTGTCTAATGAGATGTTATAGAGGGAATGATAAATGGAAAACGGAAAAATGAAAGAGAAGACTATCATTATTGGATGATATTAGGAATGGGGAGGAAGATAAAAGCTAAGGAGAAGGATAAACGGCGATAGGAAAGAGAAGGATGATAATATACATCGGAAATCCCTCAACAATACTAAGAGACACAGAGAGAGATTTTTAATAAACAAATGTTAAACGAGATTTCTAAGAAAGAGTTACAATTTATAAAGCTCTTAGCGTGTAAAATACCGTAAAGTTTTCCCGATTTCTTGTTTTATAAATAATTGCTTAATAAGCCAAATATAATTGCATTATATTCAAATTTCCAACGGTGATGTAATTGTGACGCGATCAAACGATATCTCATCTCTCGAATGGATAACGTTTTAATGCGATAATTGTCACCGAAGTAATTATGACGCTAACGGTAGCATCCCGGCACCCTAATTTGAATAATTAACGAGGTGTGACGATACTCGTATGCGCAATAGAGGATCAGAAATCATTAGAGGAGTGTAGAAAGGAAACAATATCCCTTCACTACTCTAGTACCCGTCTTTACTAAGGAAAACCCCAGTGTGTGGCCCTTCGCCGACTCGTTTAGTGTCGAACGAATTGTTAGTGTCTTCTATCGTTTAATTGGTTTAAACAACGAAAGAGATATTAAGCTATTTCCTTTGCTCTTTTAATGATCGACCATTTAAATTCTCTTTAATTCCCGAAGAAGAAAGTAATGTTAGATTCGTCTCTATAAACGTTTAGGTCAGACCCTAACGAAGTAAGTTATTGTTAGGAGATCTGACGTGTTTACGACGTGTTAGGAGATCTGACGTGTGCGAAATTACACCTTCCTCGACCACTCTGTTATTATTAGAGAATAGAAGAGAAAAATTCTGATTAGCACCGACCTGATTTGCTGGAACTCGTTGGAAACACTTTTCTGCACCTTAATCATCACCACTCGAACCACGTTCAATAACACCACCAAATTCACCTGCGAACAATACATTTAACGGTAATTATAGAAAACGTTCGCTCTCCACCACGTCTCGTCGTGAGGAAATCCTTTTACCGAATGTATATTTACCATAATAATGAACATCCTGGGTCCTTCCAGAATCCAGAAGTAAGCGCTGAAGTGATATCCCCACCAACATCTAAGCGAGAGTGTCTAATTTATTCGGACGAGCTTCGTGGTTATTCGAAAAAACGTGAAAAATTACTCACAGGGAACGTCGATAGAAGACGGCCATGGTTGTTCCCCACACTAACACCAAGAATAAAGGAAAACCTGAAGGAAAAGAGGCTCTTCGTCTCTTCCTCTTTTTCTAAAAAATCTGAAAAAGTAAAGCAGACTCACCCCATCCGATCAAGTGGAAAACGAGGAAGTCCACCTTTTTTCTAAAGACTAAAACCACGGTGGTATGTAAGTGTATTCCTTCTAGGAACATCCAAGTGAAAACGCAAGTCCTGGCGTATTCCATCACCGCGTAACACACTTCGCACAGGATCATCTAAGGACGAAACGAAAGCGTCGAGAAACGTAACTACCTCATTTACTTCGGGTACACTTACCGTATTCTCGATGCCTAAGGAACGATTTCCTCCCGAAAGAGGGTCGTCCAGAGAACGTCTGGCCAGCCACTGATCGACGTATACGATCAGACGAACGCTCACCTGTAGAAACATGGCCAAAAACAAGTTCCTGTGTAGTTTGGTACGTTTATTCTTCAGGCATCTTTAATGGTAAATGAAGAAAGTTACCACGTCGTTTACGTTCCTCGTATAATAAAAAGTCCGCCACTCACCTGAATGCGAAGAATACGTAGAGAGAGGCTATTAACGCCGTCAGAGAAAGGCTCAACCCCACCATTTCTACGGCTCTGGTGCTCCTGGCCGTATTTAGTTTAATCTACAAAAGAAGTTCAAGTGATTCAGAGAAAAGAGCAACGAAAAGAAAGGGCACTTACTTGAATATCCTCGGAAGATCCGCGATACAGTCTGTCCAGAATACTTTTCACCTCGGGTGTAAAACAAGAAGTGTAGTTGGTCCATCCCTCCGAAATTTCGTCTCGATCTCTTCCAGCCCACTTGCCTTCCTGATCGCATCTTCTGCTGGCAAACTCTGCAAAGGATGGACTGCCGCGCTTTACTTCCAATCTCACTCCTCCACGAGAAGAAAGTGATTAAAGGGAGAGGGAGAAAAACGTCACTGCGCGTGTTCGATCACGATCGCTTTATTGGAAAGCAATTGAGTGTGAAAGAAAGAAACAATTGAGAATAAAGCATCCCCGCGCCAAATTCATTTCAAGTAAATAGGGAGATATTGAGTTCGGGTAAATTAGATTTTTGGATTATTGCCATGTCTTCGCCACCCTCCATCCCCCCTTTTCGACAAATGACGTCCGGTAGGAAAGAACACCTCATTTCCCACGTTTCGGTATAAACACTACCGTTTTTGTAAACAAATTCGAGGATTGCTAGCATTTATAGGGGAAATTCTGGTGAAGACAACAGCCACGTGTCAATTGCTGGGCTTCGTTATAAGATACACAAACCCTAAAATCTTATATACAAAGCACAGAGCAGTGTCAGAAATCATCACTGCACTGACGAAATGCAGTGATAATTTAATTCTTTCGAGGTTTAACTTGAAATATACTCACGTGACGTATCGAGACCCTTCTCCTGAGGGCAGGCCAGATAAACGGTTCGGTTGGGAGAGCTGGAAGGCCAACATAGAAGTCCATCCCAGACGGCCCGGCAGAAAGGTTCCGAATCTGCAAACGTCACGTATGTCTGATCAAAATAAACTTTATATTCGTAACATTAACGACGTAACTGTACTTTACGGTGCATAAAATCTAGAAGAGCAATTTCACTCGACAGAGAGAGAGGTGACAACCGAGAAACTAGTTAGAGTCGCGAGTTCGGACCTCCTCTTAAATCGCATTTTATCTTAGCGTTAATTAAGTAATGTTATGATAATAATCGATGGCACGCGTAGAAATGGAAGAAAACTTTTGAGTTAGGAGGTTTCTTCGGGGAGAAAGGGCGAAGCAACAGAGGAAAACGAATCTTAATTTCTCTCGAGACCCCTTTCTCCTTTAATTAAAATAATGGAAACGAAGGGTAATAACCTGGAAATATTTCGTTCTCATTTCCCACTGTGGTGACCAATCGAGGGGGCGAAATCTCTCTCGTTCCTCCGGAAATCGCCCCTTTCTTCGGAGGAAACCCGTAAGATTAGTGGTTCTCGTCTTTCGAGTAGCGATGTTAAAGGTCACAGTAGAAGCGCGTTTAGGACGGAAGGGAGGGAGGTATAGGGTGTTCTAAACGCACGCTCTTCTTCCGAATAAACGAAGTTGTCACTCACCGTTTATCGCACGTTCCTGATGGCAGGATCGTTCTCTAAAGGAGGCCATGAAACGACTGGGGTGCTTGTCGTTACGCTCTCGGACTAAGTGGCGCTTCGACTGGCGGAGGAAAGAAGAAGCTCTCGCTCCTCTCCCCCTCCTCCTCCTCCTCTTCTTCTCCGGAAAGATTGTTTCCGTTTAAAAAACACCGAAGGAACCGAACCGGAAGCGAAGTTTCCATCGTTCTAAAAGACATTACGAGTTTTTCCGGTTGTTATACTCTTTAACAGTTCTTTTATTAAGAATATCTTTCCAGAAATAGCCTGCGAGTGCAGAAAGACGAGTCGACTCGCCTATCTTTTACGTCTTACGAACGGAAAATATGGAATACGTTCGGTATAAGGGAAGAAAGGGGGGGAGAAGTCGACCAGCATTTCGCCAAATTAAAATTCTGTGGAGAAACCGAGACGGAGAATTCGTGTTTAACTATATCCGCGGAAAGGAATGCAAACCTCAACAAGTGGAACGTTTCTCGAATAACCGGCAAATCGATATTTTAATATCTCGAGTCCAATAAACACGTTCGCATTCCTTAACATACGATTTGGTGTTGGAAATAGAAGAATTTACACGATCTTTTAGCGAAATTTTACACCAGTTTGTATCCGAGAAAAGTGAGTATAACCTTAAAATTGCTAACTAAAGATAAAAATCGTGTTAGGAACGGGGTGAATTCAGATTTACAGTACGAATTTTACGAAAGAAACCGTGTCGTTAAAGCCTTTCTTTCTTATTTGGTAGTAACTACACCTTTATACAAAGGTTAACAATATTAATTTGTCAGACAATTGACAGGCAATTAAGTTAAATTAAGCGATAAGTCTGTTCTCCTCCTCCTCCTCCTCCTCATCCTCCTATGATGCTGGTGTTCTTCCTCCCTCTTCGTCGTTAGCTCACGTTCATCATACAGAAGACGAAACATAATTTTGTACTCACCATTTTATTACCTAGAAAGCGATAGGTCGACATTCACTTAACCTTCTTTCTCCAGTTTACATTGGAAATTACACTCGACCCTCTCTAACACTGTTGATTTTTCCGTTTTATATGAATTCCTTGTTGTACGAGTCACTTAGATTTTACAAATACTTCAGCTGTTCACAGCCCAGCACACGTATTTGTAAAATCTAAGTGACTCGTACAACAAGGAATTCATATAAAACGGAAAAATCAACAGTGCTATAGAGGGGTCGACTGTATCGGTTACGTGTAATTAACGAATATACGTGACGGTTAGACGGTTATCGAGGGCTTTTGTATCCGATAAATACTTTAAATTCCAAATATAAATGGTTTTAAGGCGAAAGTTCCTCTTCCTTTAGCCAAGTTTCTGTAAATTTGTCATTCTTTTTCTCCCCCGAAAACGTTTTTCTACCCCCCTTCATTTTCTCTCATTTATGGGAGAAAATTCAAACGGGAGAAGTTTCGAACGACGTTCCTCTCTGAGACATTTTATGGCCGAATAGTTCGTGTATGCCAAAGGTATTCCGGCGCCACTCCTCCCGTCTTCTACACAATGACAAGACCTAATTCCGACTTTTCGGCGGTTTTACTCCATAAAATCCAAAAGAATATTCTAATTCTAATTGTTTTTATTACTTTAAAATATTGACGAAACCAGTTTCTTGGAGGAGTAAAGAGACAAATGACGGTGAAAAGTGACTTTCTCGGCACTCAAAAAGGACATTAGGACGATCGTTTTTATTTGTACTAGGGTGTGACTTCCCTTGTGTTTCATTTTCCAACACTAAATAGCATTAATACCCCTAATATCCTTAATCTTTATCCCATTCCGAGATAGTAAACGAAATAGACACTAACACAACGAATATTTTTTCCGTTTTTTGAATGTTTTATTTGGATTCGGAGGTCTCAAAACATCGATATTTGCGAAAAACCCAGAGGATGAACCCAGTGTTAAGTTATAACAAAACGGGAAAGAAAAACACAAAGCTAATCCACTTATAAACAACAAAATAGCTGGAATAGAAGAAAAGATTGTTTACAATACGTAAAGTACCGGTACACATCAATATCATAAATACATTTCGTTGGATTTTTTATAATTATCTCAATAGCATACAAGCAATATATCACGTAAACTTATGCTACCGTTACGTGTATTTTACACTAGAACCGTAGCAAATAGGCCTAGTGTTCGACAGGTAAAGAGAAAAAAATAGTGGTGGGCACTTTTTTAGGTTGCTCCCGTACCCTGCAACGATTTAGACCTATTTTGGTTACAAGACTGCTTTTATCTCACTCCGTGGTGTTCTTTCACACCTCGTTTATAGAATTGTTTTGTTTGCCGAAGGTACAGTACGTAACTCTATTACCAATCATCTGATTCGACTGGAACTCTTCTCCTTTTGATCGATAGACTCTCCCCTACCATCGGTGTCGGTACCATTCATAATAATCTGCTTGTGAGAGAATCTATAACAAAGATACAGAGACCAAATTAATGATTCTAAAAAACAAATCCTATTGTTAATGGTGTAACAAGTTGTCTTCTCCAATATCCAAGTTCGGGTAAAGGTGATTAAGGGCATTCGTCATCCTACAGCTCGGTGTCCCGGAATGGAATCCGAGTGATCGAAAATCTCAGAAATCTATGAGCATGCGTAGACATACAGGCCCTGCAATTGTCGAAGACAGATCGGAAAAAAACCCACTTTTCCTCCTATACATATACAAAATAATGATTGCGAGCCTCTCAGTTCTTCGTATAATGCAGGCCTGCCTTAAAGTCCAGCCGATATTAGAGCTTATCCTCGCATTCTTTCAAAGCAGGAAGTCAGGGTCCTAAATGGCGTATAGTAGTAATGACAAGGACTTCTTTCTCGGATATATTCTCCGAGAAAAGAAGGTCATTTCCGCTTCCTGAATGAACCCAAATCTTCCTAAAAAAACCCAACACTTCCTATTAATAGATTTGTGTATCTCGTCCCACCCCCGAAAAGATTATAACAATTCTGTTTTCGTTACTAATTGTTTCCATTAGTTCTCGTGTCTACATTATTACAGATGTTTTCTGTTACGGAAAAGTAAACAACGCTCCAAACAATATAAACGTAGGCTGTTCGATATTGCCTGTTTAATATAGTTTCCACTTGAGTCAGCAAACAGTAGTTAATATGTTGTTTCGTTTATTAATACATTACAGACAATAATGCCTTTATTTAACGGCGTGTATTGTTATTAAACTCGAATAAGCGATCGAGGTATTGACGCGTCACACGAGGAAAACAAATACCAAAACGAGCGATTATTTAATGTTATTAAATCGTCGCAATTCTGGGCTGCAATTTTTAATCATATTTTTAATTTATTTCATTTAAAATATATGCTCTCCATCTCAAATTAGTAGTGGCTTGCTTCTGTATATCATACTTTTCCTTTAACAATAGAGTCGTGCGGGTCATCTATTATACGCACTCCCATTTTTTAACACGACTTTTGCGCTGTGCCAGTTGAACTAAACAGGCAATCTAGTGTTCCAGATATGGCCCAAATTTAAATTTCGATATTCTTACTACAAGTAATAAGTTTATAAAAAATTGGTTTAGGGAACCCCTGTTAATGGAGTCCTAACACAATTGCCCTTCTTGCCCATAGGATAACACCCACTCCTAAGTAGTAGTTTTGTTTTAATATACAGTAAGACCTCGTTTATACGAGTTTCTAGATCTTCTTTCACGCTCCGCTCTTACGTTTATCAGTTAATTTTTGCCCAGCGAAGTCGATATTGCCTGTGGTAAATAAGCCATAGGCAATATCGATTGTGTTTTCATTTGTGCTTGGATTGCGGTGGTGGCCCGGGCTCCATTAGGCAACGTACCAGGTGGATGGATAATATCAAAGGCCTGTAACTGAAATACCTGAAAGACTGTGCACTATAGAACTCGCTAGAGGAAACTCGTCTGTGAAGTCACCAATAGTCGTACACAATTTCAATGGTTAAAGAAGTTAGAGGTTAAAATATCTCCAGCAAATTTATAAAAAAATTTCTTCACTCCGGATGGAAGCGGTTAACTTGTCAATCTACATTCATTGTGATCCTAGCCGAACCCACGTTAGGCTCGATTAAAAAGACTTCTTAATGTCCACAGGGCGCAAAAAAAGATTAATTTATTCAGGATCTTGGGATATGACACTTTAGAACCATGGTTTAATCGATAAACCATGGTTTAATCGATAAACCATGGTTTAATCGATAAACCATGGTTTTGAAGTGTCATATACCAGGATCGCATTCTCTATACGGTTCTATAAACCGTACTGAGAATGCGTTCTGGTGAGTAAAACCGCCGAAAAGCAGAAAGTCCATGCAGAAGCGTGGAAAAAGTTGGCCCTCCAGTGCGACATAAGTCCAAGATATAAAAATAACGACACTTTGTCGGACGCCATTTTCTGGTTACGACTCGTTGCGCTTAAAACTCGTAAAATGCAATCTTTATTTTAAAAAAATATCCTTCTTTCGAAAATTGTCTCAAATAAATCAATAAATCAATCTTAAATTATAAGTATAATCGCAATATTAATCTAAAATATGGAACAAAACTTCACGAATTGTTTCCACTTTTGTTAACAGAAATAAGTGAAAATTAGATAATTGAAACATAAGAACAATTTATTAGCTATTGTACGCTCATCAACTTGTATAATGATTAATTAATATATTTATTATTATATACGGGTTAAAATTTTTAAATATGAAATCGTCACCAGATGGCGAGAGAAGTCGCTTAGATTTGAGGTCACGTGGTCCCTACAAAAATTTGTGAATTTCGTTTCTCTTATAATTTTCTAACCGTTATTTTATTAATAACTTACGAACTTTATTTGTTTATAAATTATCAAAAATATCTAACCTTTTCAAAAATGTCCTTATCCTTTTTTTTTTACGGATGGCCGATAATACATGAAGTAGGGAAATTTCCCTTCGCTTATTAGTATCGCTAGATTATTGT